GTGCAGGACCCAACCCGAGACAGTGGCCACATGCACGATTTGGTTTTCTTGTCGGAGCAATGGCAAAGCGATCTGAGGGGAGAGTTACAGCTTTCCCCGTTGTCATGGTCAGATCACGTCCTGGTGACCCTGAGTTTCTCCTATGCCACCCCCCTCTGCAGGGAGGCAGGGCCCATGCGCTTGGTCCACCCCCAGCGCCTGATGGACCTGTCAGGGTTTCAAAGGGAGCTGGGGGGTATTCCTGTGGATCTGCTGCACGGTCCAGCGGAGGCCTTGGCTGCTTCTTGAAATAGGGAGGCAACCGGGGCCTTGGACAGGATTGCGCCTATGCGACCTCTCTTGCCACATCAGCCCCGACACTCCCCGTGGTTTACAGAGGAGTTGAGGGTGCTGCAGAGAGTTAAGAGACGTCTAGAGTGCCGCTGGAGGAAGACAAAGACTGAATCTGACTGAACACAGGTTAGAGCCGCTACATTGTGGCAATAAGAGCAGCGAAGCGCCAATACTTCTCTGCCCTTATTGCATCTGCAGAGTGCCGCCCAGTGGCCCTGTTTGGGATCACTAGATCCCTCTTGGTAGGGGGGAGCTGGGAATTCATTTGCAGGGCCGCGTGGAGGAATTTTCAGAACATCTGCAGGATAAAATCGCTCGGATTCGTTCCAAGTTAGACTCCGAGCGTGGCGCAGGGTCTGGGGAGATACCAGGGGATCGTTCTTGCCCAGTTATCAGGGAACAGTTTGATCCTGTTGTTCCTGAGGAAGTGGACAGGATCCTCTGGATTGTGAAGGCCACCACTTGTCATTTGGACCCATGCCCCTCCTGGCTGGTGAAAGCAGCTTGGGAGGTGACATGCGGTTGGATCCAGGTGATAGTTAATACATCCTTGTGGGAGGGAGTGTTTCCAGCTGCCTTTAAAGAGGTGTTGGTGCACCCCTTCCTCAAGAAACTCTCCCTGTATCCTTCTGTACTGGACAATTTCCACCCAGTCTCCCACCTCACCTTTTTGGGGAAGGTGGTTGAGAAACTGGTGGCATCACAGCTCCAAAGGGTTCTGGAGGAAAAAGATTATCTGGACTCTTTTCAGTCAGGTTTCAGGCCCGGTTATGGAATGGAAACGGCACTGGTCGCACTTATGGATGATCTTTGGTGGGAGCGGGATGGTGGAAGTGCGACCATCCTTGCTGTCCTTGATCTCTCAGCGGCTTTTGATACCATTGACCACGGTATCCTGTTGGGACGACTCAGGGAATTGGGGGTGGGCAGCACGGTCTTGTGCTGGTTCACCTCCATTCTTCAGGGCCGATCCCAATCGGTGGTGATAGGGAGTGAGAGGGCCCATCCTCGGCCCCTCCTCTGTGGGGTGCCGCAGGCTCCGGTTCTTTCTCCGCTCCTTTTCAACACCTACATGAAACCGCTGGGTGAGATCATCCGCCATCATGGGATGAGGTATCATCAGTATGCTGTTGATGCTCGATTATACATCTCCGTCCCAGGTGAGGTAAGTGATGCCGTGACTGCCCTCTCGCGGTGCCTGGAGGCTGTAAGGGTCTGGATGGGGAACAACA